TTGGAGTTGGAGGAGACACTTGGAGGCCCATGCCAGAAGTGAGATACTTCCACCACCACTGGGTCCACAAGACTATTCACCCCTGGCCGGTGATCTTCCTGCATTTGGCGTCATTTCATGGCTGTGTGAGTCTAAAGAGGAAGTTATGGATTAGTATGAACATATGGGGTAATATCAGACTCAGTGACTCAATTGAGACTGGGTTTGGATGTTTTCTAAGTATGCAATTACTCTTTATATAAAGCTCTTTCTTATACACATATTGTCTCTGGATTTGTTTCTCTAGTCAACACAATGATATTGGTAAAATCATACATCAACCCATTCTACCAGGTCAATTATGATATATATTATAAACTTAAGGACAAACAACTGTCCTATGAGATCTCAAGGCTGTAATATTTTTATCTTTTTAAATTTTGTTTACTTTGCTGTACTTGCAAAGCACATTCCAGTGCAATAGTGTCTGCACTTACAATTTCATGGTATTGATTATAGTCTTCAAGTTGTGCAACCGTTCTCACCCTCCTTTTCAGAATTATTCTTCCTCATTAGCATACACTCACTGTCCCCTAAGGTTTCTATCTTGTCTTGCAAGTTACTGTGAGTTTTACTTTGAAGAGCTAGTTCTTTTTTTGGTAGAGCTAGTTCTTAAAAAGAAGCCCTGCTTGTGTAATGATTAAAAATTAGTTATTGGGTTATGGAAAGGTCCATTGTTCAAAACCACCATCCTTTCCTTGGGAGAAAGACAGAGCTTTCTATTCCCATAAAGTGTTACAGTCTCAGAAACTCGTAAGGGTAGTTCTACCCTGTCCTATAGGATTTGTCTGAGTCAGAAATGACTCAAAGACAGTGTGTTTGTTCTTAAACGAGCACAGTGCTAATGGCATAACCTTTTTATAGTTAATCGAAACTATTATTTGCTTTTAGGAAGAGTTCATGGGACATTTTTGATTTAGGATTTAAGGATGATCTCAGGAAAAGAGTGGCACAGGTTCCCTCAACCTGCATGACTCCAAGAAATCGTGATTATACTATTATTTTAAATTCTGTTCTTTACTTCCCCCCTTTTGATCAGAATTCTTCTATGCAAACTGTGATCAAAATAAAACAATTCTCATGGTTTCATGGCAAGGAGGCTGTGAGTGGTTCCAAGAGGCAGTTAGCCACAGCTTCCCTACCCTACTTTGATTCCTAAGTCTCCTTCTTCCTTGTGTTGCAGTCCAATAGAGGACAATTGTTGTCGTTTGAATGCCCACTCACAAACTTTTGCCATCCGAGGCACTACACAATGAAATGCGCAGTAAAACAGAACCACAAAACACGTTATTAGGTCATCTGACTGAGATGTCCCTTGACACCAGGTTCCTATAAGCATCTAAACCAAAACACCAAATCCCGTGAGATTTTTGGCTGTGCATAAGCAGGCTCAGCAGATCCTCTTGTTCCTTCTTCTGTCGTTATTTTTTATTATATCTGTCACATAACTTTTGCAAATTTAACTTTTTACAAGGGGACGATATAGTGACCATAATGGGCTGTGCAAACCTGTCCTTAGTCAACATTATATGAGTATTCTATCGCCAAGGGCCACCTTTAGTCTTCCTGTCATCCTTGGTAACCCCTAATAAACATTATTGTCTACACACTAGCCTTTTATGAAATTGAGAATATATACTATATGTCTATTTGTGGTTGACCTGTTCTGCACAGTACAATGGGTTCCAGTGCCATCCATATGGTCGCATATACCAAGACTTCTCTTCTCCTTTGTCTGAGAAGAGTTCCAGTGTATTTAGACACTGCTGTGGTTATCCCTTCATCTGTTGGTGGCCATTTAGATCGTTCCCCCTATTGTTGGTAGTGCTGCACTGAACACTGGTGTCCGAGTCTCTGTCAGTTTTTGCTTTCAAGTGTTTTGGATATAGACGTAGCAGTGGAATTTCTGCTCAGGTAGTAGCTCAATTCTGAGTTTTTTGAGGAACTATCACATTGTTACCTAAATGACTTGATCATTTTACATTCCCACCAGCAATTGAAAGACCTCTATTTCCTCACATTCTCACCAAAATTTGTTGTTTTATTTTTGTCTTAGTCATCCTAGGGGGAGTGTAATGCTATCTCATATTGGTTTTGCTTTGCATTTCTCTGATCATGGCTAATGATTCTGGGCATCTTTCAATATGTTTGTTGACTACTTTTTTAAAATCATTTTTTGGAGGCTCTTCCAGCTCTTATAACAACCCTTACATTAATTGTGTCAAGCACATTTGTACATATGTTGTCATTATCCTTTTCAAAACATGTTCTCTCTACTTGAGCCATTGGTATCAGCTCCTCATATTTTTTCTCCCTCCCTCACCCTCATAAACTATTGATAAAGTATAAATTATTATTATATTCATATCTTAAACCTTTCGATGTCTCCTCTCACCAATGTTTCTGTTGTTCATCACCCTGACGTGTTGTGGGGTGTGTGTGTGTGTGTGTGTGTGTGTGTGTGTGTGTTATATGGATCATTGCAATCGGTTCCTCCTTTCTTTCATCACCTTTGCTCTATCCTCATGGTATCACTGCTACTACCATTATTGTTCCTGAGGGGTTTATCCTGGATTCCATGTGTCAAGAGCTCTCAACATTCCTCTAGTTAGTTAATGCTTTCCTCCCACCCTCACTGTCATGACCCCAGTTCTACCTCACAAATCTGGCTAGACCCGGGCATGGACATATAAGAGATTCTTGGCTACTTGAATGTACTCCTTGGCGAAATATTTATTCAAGTGTTTTTCCCATGGTATGATGCATTATTTCTCTTTAGGTTGTAAAGCCTCATCTTTCTTCTGAGGGGTAGCTGGTTGGTTTAAACTGCTGACCTTGCAGTTAGTAGCCCAACTTGTAACACAGTACATCACCTGTGCTCTTATTTGTGTGTGTACACACACACACACACACACACACACACACACACACATTATTAGATTCTTCTTGGATATCTGATTCACCAATGATATTTTACCAGGCATTAGCTTGTCTTCTCACTTTTAAAAAGATCTATGATGAACAAATGTTTTTAATTTTTAAGAGTTCACACTTATTTAATCTATCTTTTGTTTTGTTGCTTCTGTTATTATTTTTAGATAATCTATTATTAAATGCAGAGGAGCGTGAACAGTGTAGTAGTTAGGGGTTGGGCTGCAATTCGCATGGTTGGCACTTCAAAACCAGCAGCAGCTTTGTAGGAGAAAGCCTGAGGTTTCTACTCCTGTAAACAGTTACATTCTTGGAAAACCCTAGAGGGTCATTATGAGTCAGTATGGACTCAATGGCAGTGAGTTTTTGGATTGCTAAATGCAAGACCTGGCAAAATAGCCCCTGCTTTTTGTTCTAAAATTTGAAGATATTTATATTCAGTTCCTTAATCCATTTTGAATTTGCTTTTGTCCTTTGTGAAAATTATGAACCGTATTTCATTTGGAAATACAATTTTCCCAGCATCATTTATTGAAGAGACTCTTATTTCCCATCAAATGGACTTGGTACCCTTGTCAGAACTCAGTTGACTAGTGTGGGTTTATTTCTGGCCTTTCAGTTCTGTTCCATTCGTCTGTGTGCTGGTGGTTATATCAGTGCCAGCCTCCCCTGCTGTGTCCCTTTGAATCTCCTGTTCCAGGTGTTATTTCCATATGTTTACCTAACCTGGGTGTCATATATCTATACATACAAAATTAAGACAGAATACGAACAAATGACCCAACTACAGTGACACAATGAAACAAAGGAAAATCTCAATTAATAGCAAAACAGAAAATATTAGAAACTGGAGTCATTATATATTGGGTCAGAGATCCCTGATAGTGTCACAGTTTGACTAACAACAGCTGCATAATCCACCCTGCAATGTTCTCTGTCTGATAACAAGGCCTAGCCCGGTCATAGTCAGAGAGCATTCACCAGTGGCTTAATCCACCTGGGGTACTCTGCAAATGGGCTTTGCACTTTTACTGTCACCTGCAGCCTTCAGCAAACCAGGTGTTCTGAATTCAAGCCCCAATACTATTCCCTCCTCTGGATTTGAATTTTATTGTCTACAAATCTGGAGTCACACATGCTGGTGTACTTCTTCCATGTGGACGTGGTTGACACCTCATTTAGATGGCTGCTTGATTTCAGATAAGCCTCTAAGACCCCAAACACTACTCTTTCTTATAGTTGGACACCAGCTGCTTTCTTCACCGTTTGCTACAGCATTCATATCTTCAGTGGGTAGGTATTGAGCAGGGACATGTCATAAGAACTAATTGTTTTTTGATTGGCATACTATTAAGGGTGAGCTCAAAATCCATTCATATGTGTATGGTTTGTATATGTATTAGGCTAAATTTAAATACATCATTGTTATTTTATTAAAGGGCATTATCAATTATTTCCATAGGGCATATGGTATTGTCCTATTTATTTTGTCGCATCCTCCATATTTGTCTATCACCTTCATGTATGTCTTTTGTCCTCCTGAGTTGTTTTCTTGGGCTTCTTGCATTTAATTCTACACATTATCCCTGGACAATTGCATCTACTCTTTTTCTTTAAACTGTTTAAATGAGGACTTTAGTCCTTGTCTCTAACTTCAAGTTCACAATTAAACTCAACAACTAGATGAAAATTTCAGACTAAAATCAACGAACAAATCTTTGATTTTCCTGCCTAAACGTTCCAAAGTGAGACCAAAAATATTTTTTTAAAACTCCATCTAGCAGCAACTGGGGTCTTAAACACTCAGGAGGAGCTATCTAAGGTTCAAATATTGGTATCTTCTTATCCAGAAGGAAAAAAAGTGATAAAAATTGGAAGACATGTGAAAACAATTAATCCAATGGACTGATGGACCAGGCAAAGATCAGCCTCCACAACCCCAGCGATGTTGCACTGGGCCTCAGTGAACTGCTGTGGTTCCATGCACTCTTGTGTATGTCTCTTTATGAGCTTTCTAATCTTGTCAGAATTTATTATCAATCAACTTGCTTTTTATGTTTCCCTCTAGAAGTTAGAAATTTAGTTAACTTTTATTGAAATGATTTCAGTAAAGGGGAATATTTAATCTATTTACAGTGTAGGAATCGAGATTTCTGTATTTAATATGGCTTGCTTTAGTTACCTTGTAATTCATTTAGCTTCCTTAGCAGTAAAAATTGAAACAAATAATCAGCTTGTGAGATCATCCAGAGAATTGGGATAGTAGTGTCACCATACTGAGATGGATTCTTTCGATTCCCAGGGAGAAGCAATATAAATCAATTAATTGTGGTTTCACTGGTAGACATGGTGAGATGAAACTGTCAGAGCAGAAAACAGCATGAGAAGAAGAAACGACACCTCTCATCTTAATCACAATATTGTTGTTTAGTAGATGGGTAGTAACCAATACCCCTTTCCTTAAAACCTAGTTGCAATACTTTTAATGTTTTTCCCCCAGATATTTTCCTTTTTCAAATGTACAAAAAAGTCCCTCCCTAAATTAAAAAGAAATAGTGGAAAGAACTACGAGTCAAAAGACAGTTATAGAGGTATAAATATTAGCATGTATATATGAAATATCTTCATATATCATGATAGGCATATTTATTTATGTGCATATATGTTAAGTATTGAGGTAGCAGATGGACATTGGGTCTGTGCAAGTCTTACCTGAACACATCTGTGATGCTCACCTTCCCGACACCATCACTGAAGACAAATGGGTGTATAAGCAACATGGTGAAGAAAGCTGATGGTGCCCAGCTACTGAAAGATCTAGCATCTGGGGTCGTAAAGGTTTGAAGGGAAACAAGCGGCCATCTAGTTCAGAAGCAACAAAGACCACATAGAAGAAGTACACCAGCCTGTGTATTCAGGAGGTGTTGAAGGGATCAGGTATCAGGCATCAAAGAACAAAAAATAATATCATTGTGAATGAGGGAGTGTAGCTTGGGGACCCAAGGCCCTACAAGGGACAACACTGGAGACACGGTGTGGGACTTTCGCCTGATCTGCTCCCAACACACCGAGGGAAAACACTGAGTGCATGAAACAGAATAGCAAGGGGAACAGAACAACGAAGTCCCCAGGGAATACCAAAAATAGACATTGTGGCCAGGGCTTGACAACCCATCAAACTCGACCAGAAAACACTCCTGAAGGCCAGAAAACAGTCCTTGAATAATTACAAGCTTTTCTTTTTTGTTCTTGTTGTGCTTTTTTTGTTTGTTTGATTTTTATCATTGGCTTTTTGTTATTTTGTTTTCTTTTGTTACTCTGTTTTGCTCTGTCTTGTTTTTGTGCATGTTATTATATCCACAAGTCTATGTAAATAAGATAGGCTAGATGAACAATCTGGAGGAGCAAACAATGGGACCGACAGTTTTGGGGTGACATGGGAGAGGGGGAGGTGGGGACAAAGGAAGTGGTGTTAACAAACCCAGGGAGAAGGGAACAACAAGTGATCCAAATCGGTGGTGAGCAGGGTGTAGAAGGCCTGGTAGGATGTAATCAAGGGTAATATAACCAAGAGGAATTACTGAAACCC